CCGTTACCCCCAGCTCACATGGCCATTGTTCTTGCTGGCTGAGGGTGATGGGACTTGTAACCCAACACATCTGGAAAGAGCTGGTTTGGAGAAGCCAGTTGACAAAGCATCACAGACACTGGAGAGATTTGTGGATTATGCAGTGAGCCAAAATGGCACAGTGGGTGAGTGCTGGACAGACTTGGGAGATCCGGGTTCTACTCCCTGCTCAGCCACGAAGGTCACTCAGGATCTTTGGGCCAGGCACTCTGCCTCTCATCCTTTCCCACCTCACAGGGTTATTGTAAAGACAAACCAGGCTGAAGAAAATCCTTGTGGGTAAGGATTAAGTATGAATAAAGAATAAATAGAGAAAAGGGAAATACTGTGTCACTCCCACCCTCCAGTCCAAGTAAAATATCTTTTTAATGAAATGGTACTGCTACTAATAGCAACAGTAACAGTAATAGCTTTGGCAAGTATGAGAGCAGTCTGGCTCATTGAACCAAACAGCATGGCCAGTTTTGGGGAAACAAGGAAGGAGCACGGCTAGCACACCGCAGTCCGCCTGCCTCTGGCAGCTAAAGCTGTTTACACGGTGGTGCAGCAGTGTCCCCTCCGGCATTCCGTCACTTTTTGTCTTTCCTGTGGGAGCCACAAAGCCCCTCTGGCCTGGTACAGTCCGATTTGGTAGGGCAGACTGACAGACGGGATTCTGAGCAAAGCTGTTGTTTGTGATCTCTCTGGTAAGCCCCGTCCCGCATTCCAGGCTTCCCTGGCTCCCATGAGATGCATTTCGCTTGAAGCCTCTCTTCCTCTAGATAAATGAAAGCACGCCACTGGGTGTGTGTGGGGAGAATCCACTCATGTACAGCAAGCATGCAGCTGGAACCAACTTCGGCTTCTCCATTCCTATTGCTTTCTTCGGAGTAGCTCTTTTTGGGTGAGGAAGGCAGCATTGGAGGCAAAGACAGACATGTCTGTGGCACTGGAAAGCCTCCTCCTTCTTTCCTGTACCCTCACCTTCAGCAACCTGGTGTGCTCCAGGTATGTGGTACTATACCCCCGCACACATCCCCCAGGCATCCTGATGCAGCAGCAATGTCTGGGTTCACAATAAGGGGTTCATCAGCCAGCACGTTCTGAAATGTTTTTCTTAGGAAGAGCTAGCAACAGCAAAGCCTTCTGTTCTTCCCCTTTTGGAAAATAAAACACAAATATTTGTTTCCCCAGTGTAATTACATTCTACAATTGTTTTGATAGCATTAAATGATATACAGGGATGGATGCAGGCAGAGGGCACAGCCTTCTGAATGTTTGGACAGAAGTTCTGCCATTTCCAACATTTCCCAGCCAGCAATGCTGGAAGTTATAGGACCTTTCGTCTTTCTTAATATGCAGAGCATTGCATCCTTTATTGTGCTTAGAAAGGGCCCATTGAATTCCTTGGGCTTCCGTTAGCCAAGGCTAACTATAGATATCTTCATCTCCATGAATCTTGTAAGAGTCCAAGAGTACAGAAAATGTAACCTTTTATCCTCAAGAAATTCATCTAGTTTTAGCTTTTCTCCATTCCTTTGAAATGCAAAATATGAATTTTCTAGAAGGAATTTCATCTTTTACTTTAGACAGAATTCCATGACAATGGAAGGATGCTCAAAGCTTTCTCCTATAAAGAAACGCCAAGCTTTGCCTCTTTAAGCTTCTTTCCACCTCTGCACACGAAGCCACACAACTTTTCTCAAGTATAAGAATTTCAAATTTACTGTGATTTTTTCTCTTTCATGTGAAAGTTCATGCCAATTCTATCTGAATCCCTAGCAATCTTGCAAGTTCTGTGTAGGAATCAATTCTCATGTTTCAACACACATTAATGAAAGAACTGAAGGGGTGATTTTATTAACAGTGGGTTATTGCAGAGATGAAACAGGGAGGACAAGAATCTCCAATTCCACCTTGGATTCCTTGGAATAAACTTTTGATATAAAGGTAACAAATAATGAATATGAATTAATAAAAATCTGAAACATTCTTTTACAAATGATAACAGTTTTTTAATTTTCCTCTCTGGCCTAGTCCTTTCCCATATATGGAACCTTTTATTCACTTGGATTACATTTTGATAAAGGGATACCATTCCACATTTTTTGAGTGATAGGAAAGTGATGCAGTGAAGTCAGTGTTCATCTGTTAATCTGCCTACAGCTTGTCATAACCCCAAACTTCTTCCTGCTTCACAGATAGACAAATTCTTCCTGAAGCACAACAGATAAACCCTGCTTTGTTGTTGTTGCTGTTGCTAGTCGCGAAGTGGTGTCTGACCCATCACAACCCCATGGACAACATTCCTCCAGGCCTTCCTGTCCTCCACCAACCCCCAGAGTCCACTTATGCTCACACCAACTGCTTCAGTGACTCCATCTAGCCACCTCATCCTCTGCCATCCCCTTCTTTGTTTGCCGTCAATTGTTCGCAGCATTAGACTCTTCTCCATTGAGTCCTTCCTTCTCACTCATAGGTGGCCAAAGGATTTGAGTTTTATCTTCAGTATCTGGCCTTCAAAAGAGCAGTCAGGGTTGATCTCCTCTAGGACTGAACGGTGTGATCTCCTTGCAGTCCAAGGAACTCGCAGGAGTCTCCCCCAGCAAAACCCTGCTAGATCAAGCCAAAGTTGCACCTTGCCTGTTTTCTGAAGTTACCAACCAAATACCTCTGGGATATCCACAAGCAAGACAGGAGAGCAGCAACTATTTTGGGACCATCTTCAAGTTTGAGAGGACTTTGGCCCAAGTGTCCTCTGACAGGACCTGAAGGTGACTATTTCCACATCACCAAAAACAAGCAAGGAAGCAAACAAAGGGGGACAAAAGAGAACATGGCTTTGCATAACAGTTGCATGTCCCAACTTGCAGGTATAGGTACAAATAAAGTATCTATATGTGCAAAGGCAGCATCTGTTCTTTTAAAGCAACCATTGCATTAAGCATAGTTTGCTGCTGACATATTACTGGCAGACAGCTTGTTCTGTGGAAAAGAGAATATTGCAGGAAAAAATCTAGATCAGTAAGGTTAAACTACAGAGAACAGGCTGGGAAATGCCTGTAGAACCATAAACACCATGACAGTAGATATGAAGATAATAAACATGAATGGGCTGAATTTCAAGACATCAAATATGTTCAATTATAAGACTTGAAAAGAAATGGGAAGACACTGGGCATAGTTGCTTCTCTGCTCACAGAAGGCATTCCTGGTAAAGTCCAGGGTCCAGAAGAAGGCAACAAAAATGATCCAGGGTTTGAAAACACTGTCCTCTGAGAAGAGACTGAGTGGACTGGGCATGTTCAGCCTTGAGAAGAGAAGACTGGGGGGGGGGGGGGGGGCATGGTATCCCTCTATAAGGACCTCAAAGGCTGTCACAAAGAGGAAGGTCAAGATCTCTTCTCTCTGATACCAGGGTGTAAGACATAGAATAATCAGTTCAAGTTGCAACAACCCAGATTCAGGCTAGGTATCAGGAAAAGCTTCCTCACTGTCAGAGCAATACGGCAGTGGAACCAGCTGCCAAGAGAGGGCATGGGTTCTTCCACACTAGAAACATTCAAAAAGAAATTGGACAGCCATCTGAGTGGGATGGTGTAAATTGGTGTCTTGCAACAGGGGGTTGGACCTGATGGCCTTCATGGCCCCTTCCAACTCTACTATTCTATGATTCTATGAAGTATGCATGATGCCCTTGTCCTATTTTCTTTTTCTGTTTCAAACTTTTTTCAGCAAGTACCGTAGCAATATTTTCTATTATATTTTCTGTTTCTAGAAGTGGCTTGCATATATTTGCTTTTTGTTAATGAAAAAGACACCTATGGTCCTGGGAGAGCTTTCCAGGAAACCTACGATTGTCCCAGGTCCCCCTTCAAGCCCATGGGCAGTGTTGGGACCTCACCAAGAACCCAGTTGCTCTCCTCACCACCTCTTCTGCCTGCTTGCAGCTGCATGGAAAGAACCACAAGGAGAGATCAGAAAAGGGACAAGCCGGTGGGTGAGGAGGAAAGAGTGGGCAAAGGACTGCCAAAGATACAATGATTTCTATGGCCTCCCAGCCCAGTCCCTGCCAACTCTGCACAGGTGCCTCGGCCCATCTAAAGAAGATAATCGAACAAAACAGACGTTGCAGGGAAGAGGCAAATGTTACCTCCACCACTCCTCCTGCCCTGCCAACAGCAGCCCACAAGCTTTGGATGGCGGAAGCTCCACAGTTCAGAGGTTTCCAGCTAATAAGGTGCAAACCATAAGAGAGCACTCTGAATGTCTTAAAGTTTCATCCATTTGCATCTATTTAGAAAGCAACTGTGCATGACTCAGTGCTTCCAAGTGTCCAAAAAAAAAAAAAATCTCCCTGAGCCCAGACGTGAAGAAAGAGCCTGTCACGAAGCATGGGGGCCTGCTTAAGTAGATTTATTAGCCTTAATTTTAATTCTTCCACAAATATAGAAATAACTGCCTTGGTTTAAATTGGAATACATCTCCCTGCAGTGGGGAAGACCATGATGAGATGATCTGTATGCCTTCTCAGGTTGCTACCCATTTGCCAAGTGTTCATCTTCAAGGTACCTGCTTGTCCTTCTTCTGGAACTACTTCTTTCTGGAACTACTACTACTCAACTCCCTTGGCCACCTAATTAGAAGGAAGGACTCACTGGAGAAGACCCTGATGCTGGGAATGATTGAAGGCAAAAGGAGAAGGAGGTGGCAGAGGCTGAGGTGGCTGGATGGGGTCACTGCGGTGGTTGGTGTGAGCTTAGGTGGACTCCCTAAGGTGGTTGGTGGAGGACAGGAAGGCCTGGAGGAATGTTGTCCATGGGGTTGTGATGGATCAGGCATGACTTTACAACTAAACAAAAACCAAAAAGATTGTCTTCCTAAGTAAAATTGGTTCAAACAATAAACAATGCATTCAAATGCAATCAGGAGCATAAGAGCTGCTGAATAAAAGCAGTACCCAACCCAACAGGGCTACTCACCAGCCGAAGGCCTTCTTGAGTAAAGTGTCTTTGCCAGCCAGTGGAAAGGCAGCAGAGAGGGGTTGAACACAGCCTCCCTTGGCAAGGAGTTCCACAGCCTGAAAAGGGCCACTGAAGAACCCCTTTCTTGGGTCACCACCGGACATGCCTCTGAAGGAAACAATCGTGAAGAAAAGGCTTCTCCAGAGCATCTCAAGAACCAGGCAGGCTTGTATGGAAGAAGACAGTATTTCAGGCAGCCAGGTCCCAATCCATATAGGGCTTACTCAGTCAATAGCTTGGCTTTTTAGCTACCTCCCAATCCACTAGTGCTCCTAAAATGCCACTCCAGACCTTCAGACAGAGCCATTTGTACTTGGGTGAGCCATTCCTTTTTGCCGTTTTCATCAAGAAGAAGGCTTTGGCAAATCAATAACAAGTGTCCATATGTTGTCCAGGAGAAAACAGAAACTTCGGAAGTATTATCTTGTCAGAACATATGCTTGTGGTACCCATTTTATCTCCGAAGTGTCATTCTGTTGTTGGCTTTTAAAAGTGGGAGAATAGATTCAGTCGTTATGGTGAGGAGACAAAGAAATCAATAGTCTCAAACATATAGCCTGTGAATCTTGCAAAGTGCCTTCCTTCTCTTGGTTCTTCTGCCCTCCAGAATGGAGAAACAGCTCAGCTGTTGATGTTGTCCACTGAGCTTACTGTCAAAATAAAATGAAAATAAGAAAGGGAGATAACAGATGAAATAGAACAGAAGATAGCAAAGAAGGGATCATCCTTCTTTCATTTATAATTTCAAAAAGGATTATGTTAAATTGCTTTTCCTTTTTCAGTTTGCTAATGCCTATAGTTAATCTTGCTTTGGACTGGCCAGCATTTGCTTTAGCATAATCTCTTTCTCGTTCTTTCCAACATCTCTCCTCGAAAGGTAGAACATTATAGTTTAATTCTTCTTAACATCTTGATGTGTTCCACCGAAATCAATGGGACTTATCTCTGAGACTGCTTCCAGCCAAGAATGTAATTGTTCAAATGGCCTTGTTTTATTCACAGGATTTTATGGAGGAACCTGATGTCATCATCTTCCATTGGTAGCCCTCCCCTGTTTTCCCACCATCTCCTCCTTTGTTTCCTTGCTACAATATGTGTGTGTGTGTGTGTGTGTGTATCCATTACAGGAAAAGGATGGAAAAGCTGCATGATGTCCTTTGGCTGATAGTGCTTGGAACTGTCCATCTGCAAGCAGCCCGGCAGAGCTTTGTGCAAATATACTTGAACCATAAGAAACTGATAGCTGCCCAAAGGCAATGTCTGCCACAGGGATGCTACTGAAAACGGGAACTTCAGGTGAGATCACTTTCTCCCTCCTGAAGCTGTAACAACTAGGAGCAGGTATGAATGAATGCAGCGTTACTGCGTGCACTTCCTTGACTGCAGTGGCCAATGGCACAAATGAAGTGGCCAAGCGCACGAAGATACACGGGGCCATATTTATCTCAGAGCCATGTCAGCTATGCTCATGAAGGCGTCTGTGCCGGCTACCAGGTTTTGCAGCCTTGGGCAAGGCAGCCTCAGTGGGATCCATACCTTCTTACCAGCATCATCACCAGCTGTCCTGCATCGTCTTTGCCTTCTCTTCAATGGGACCGCTTGCTTGCTTGCTTGCTTGCTTGGCAGCCAGAGGGCCAGCGGACTGCTTAGGCCGTGACATCTGCTGCTGCTCCTTCTCGTCCACAGTGCCGTCTTGGCCAGAGTGACAAGAAGGTGAGCATGGGAGTTGCACTTGTGAAAGGGAGGAGCAAGTCTAGGGGACCCTTCTCTGTATGCTTCTGTTGAGATACGGGCCCTTGGCAGGTTCCCAGCTATGCCTGCCACTGACGGCAGCACTGCCGTGGAAGATGAGCTGGAATGTAGCCTGCTTCTTGCAGCTATGGAAAGAGATGATGGATGGAGCTGTGCAGCCTGAATATCTGAGCAACAGAAATCTTGCTTCAGCACATGCTTGTTCATGTACATGTTGCTCTTGTCCACAGGCTCGGCTACTTGTTTCCACATGTATGTTCATAGCTATGAGGCTCAAAAGCTTTTGTGGCAGTGTTTTTCAAAGGAAGTTAAATGAAGGCCAATTAAATGTTACATCTACTGGAAGGTTATTAATCTCATCTAGATTTTTAAAAAGCTAATTCCAGGAGAGGAGGACATTTTTAGCAGGACCCCATTGCACAGAAAGGGGAAGCATAGAAACTGAGCGAGTCAGAAGGGGCCTCCCAGGCCATCTAGTCTGACTCCCAGCTCCAGCTGGCTCTGAGCATGACATGCCTACCATGTGCATGTCCAGCCTATCCTTGAACACCCTCACCGATGGGGCTTCAACCACCTCCCGTCGAAGCCCATTCCATACCCTTGGGGATCTAATCATCAGGAAGTACTACCTGGCGTCCAAATTGAACCTTGGTTCCTTGAGCTTGGCTCCACTGGGGCGCATCCTGCCCTCTTCTGCAAGGGAGAACAGGTTTCTACCCACCTCCGTGTGACACCCCTAGTTTAGCTGCAATCCGTCCCTGGCCACTCAAAATTGTCCTCACTGTATGTATGAGAATATAAACTCACACTGGCACCAATGGGAACTTCTTTTTTAAAAAGTTGTGTATTGCAGCATTTGTGCACTTTCAGTGGGACTGTACTGGGGAGGGCAAGTATACCTCTCTCTTCCCCATGTCTTGCGGTTTTGAAATGGAAGGGAGAGACATCTCATATTGTCATTAATGTTATTATAACCCAAATGTAGTTGCTAACCACACAGTAAAAATAACCCACCGTTCTGTCCTCTGTTCTTTTCTTGACTACCATACTCTTCCACAACTTTTTTCAAAGCCCACTGAACACCGCCAGCCCAGTTCATTACATCAGCATGAGATAAAATTTCATCTTGAAATGTTCCCTCTGTACAGATTGTCTAGGCATGAGCTGAGAAGCTGAAAGATGAATTGAATTCAAGGCAAAGGTCAAGCATGAAAAGAAGCTGCAGGGAAGAGGAGACAGGCTAGAAAAGAGGTTCCATTCCATGCTTCATGTCTTTGGGGCATCTCTCTCTCTTTCTCTCTCCCCCCCACCTCTCCCCCCACCACCCTCCTCACAGACACACATAAAGCATACAATTGTGTTCATACAATCAAGGAACAAAAACAAGTGTTGATTTGCTATTTTTCCATTGCATTTGGTCTTACACAGGAAGACAAAACTGGAGAAATGGAGAGAGAGAGCAAGGAAAACTACCTCAAGTAAGCATCGCGCAGCAGCCATGCCTGCAACTTGAAAGAGCAATTTTGTATGCTGCCATCAGTACATGGCCACACGCAAGATGGTTATGGGCCAACAACACCCAAATGAAAAAACCTTTTCAGTATTTCAGAGCATGCTTGCACACAATGAGCCACACATCTTTCAAGTTCCCTTACAAGTATTAAATATTAGGAGGAGTTTGCTTTGAATGGTTTGTTTTTTCGCATATAGTCTGTATTATATATTTATATATATATATTTATATATATGATTTTGTAAACTGTCCAGGGAGCCTTTGGGCTGATGGACAGTGTAAAAATATAAATATAAATAAATAAATATTATAAATGTAATATAAATATTATTAATAATAACATGCAAACAATGTTGTCATGGAATGCAAACAGAGCTATTCTGTTATTGTTATGGGGTTATTTTTCACCTACTCTCATGCTGGCCTCAACTGTTTGAACTCCACTTAGTTGCAGAATCATCTGGATCTACTATAGATTGTAAAGTCTTCAGGGCAGGGACTGTGATGTTTTTATACTCCATGAAGAATCTTACTGGCACTACCTAACATTCAAGAATAAGTCGTTGCTTTCGGCCTGACCACAGCACCATTCTTCTCACCCACAGCTTCTCCCATGTTTTCCTTCAGCTGGGAAAGCCAAACCAAAAACCTGAATTGTTGCTCCTTTAGCTGCAGACAGTCGACCATTTCTCTCGGCACCAGAAGTTATAACACTTACTCCAGCTTTATGTTATCAGATCGTATTTTGCTTTAAGCCCCTCCCAATTTTGCTTTGGATTTGAGAAAAAAAAAGACCTGCAACCCAAAACACTGTGCAACAGAAAATGCCCGAGATCTTGCAGTGCTATTTATTGAAAAGACGTTCTGGAGCTGTTCGAAAGAATTAATCACGAATACGCCTCCTGTGAACATTCAGCGTGGCGGTTGTTGACTTTACAGGCTGGAAGGCAGGAAATTCTTCACATTGTTGACCTTCTTTTATGATGTTAGCAGCAATTTGTGGCACGGAGCCGCTGTCTGCTTTCTTTTGGGCCATGCTCCCTTCGTAATACCTCTAGCAGCGTTCTCTTCATAGCATGATGGGTCGTAAGGTAGCCTCAGCACTTGGATTGCTTCTGGGCCACTGATTCCTTGCTAGGGGCTGCTGGGAACTCAGTGTAACAGATCGCAGCTTGAGAGGCCAGGGCTAGATCAGGACAACGATGCACTGTGGCATGAACTTCTGCAGTAAGGGCTTAGGTCATCAGGTGCAAGGGGATAATTCAGGTGCGTGTGAGAGAGGGTGGCATGGGGGAGAGAGAATACACATTAACATGCACACACATCACACCTTCTTTCCCTAGCTCCATTCCCTTCTTCCCTGCCACCAATGGTTTGGTGATTTCTCAGCTTTTGTGCAGTTTTGCCCCATTAGAAATGGTTGAAATGGTTCTCCAAAGACTCAGTTCTTGGCAAGTAATTTTAAGGTAACGTGTGGTGATTTTAAGGGAACATGTGGCCCAACGTAATTGTAAGGTAACATGTTGTGATATTCTGGCCCTGCCCACATCTGGACTGTGGCCCAAGAGCTTCTCTGAAATGGATTCAGGTCTCAGTTGGAAGAGGTTCAGCACCTGTGATACAGAGGTCAAGAGGAGGAGGGCCCAGTGCCTGGTCTAGCATGGTGAAGGAAGGAGTGAGGAAGCCCCCGGAACCTGCAGAGGAGAACTGATCAGAAGAAGGCTTTCTCTGGAACATTCTTCACTGTGAGCTGGGATAATGTTCCACCTTGGTCCCAATCCTGGGAAAGCCCAGAGATTGCCCAAAAGGGACTTAATAATTTTTATCAGAGACAACTTGTGACCCTCCAGATATTCTGGCCAGTATTTCCCATCAGCCTTAGCCATCATAGCTAGGGAAATGTAGGAAATGATGAGAGCTGTAGGACAAAATACTGCAGGGACACAAGTTCCCCACCCCTGCCTTAGCATGGCTGGGACAGAGGAACACCCAATGTCCAAGATCAAAAGCCTTTGCCACCAGCAGCCATCCCCCATCACCTAACATGGGAACACCTGGGGAAGAGACTCCATTGCGGACAATGCATGGGCAGATGTATACAGAAAGAACCAGCCTTTCAGATACTTTGATCTGGTACTTTGAACTGTTGCAGATTACTGGTTTTGGGACTCTTAAGCTCTTTTAACACCAGCAACTAAGATAATGACCTAGATAATGACCTCACTGAGATGTTTGCTGAACCGGCTGTAATTTTGCAACACTTGTCATGGGGAGTCCCATTTATAACCCAGTACCAGTTCCATCCTTTGGGAGGCCTTGGGCAAGACATTCTTAAAAGGTAATTATTGAGTCTACCATTTCACCACCATCGTAACCAGCTGCACTGTTGCTCCTCTTTCTCCTTTTCATCTGCTTGCTTGCCAACCAAAGAATCAGCAAAGAAGCAGGCAGTGGTATCTACTGTTTTTCCTTCTTAGCACCAGCTGTTGTCTTGGCTGGAGCAAGAGCAAACAGGTTACAGCAAGGAAGAGGTGGTGTTCTTATGAGTGCTGTTCCTATGATGGAGGGTGGACCCATGGCAAGTGCCCAGCCATTGACACCTCGCTGATAGAACCACATTAAACACATGGTAATCAAACCTGGGGATTAAAACATGAATAACTACCACAAGATCTTGTTGGTACTTGTGTCCTCC